CTTGCTGGAGGAGGAATGGGAAGAAAGCCCCTTGCAACCAGGAAGAGCTCTGCATGCCTGCCAGCAGCTCCTAAGACTTACGTGCCTTGCCTGAGGCTGAGTGGATGGCGGGAGTCCCAAGACCTAACAGTCACTGGGAGCCGAGATGCTTAGAATCAGATTGGCCACTAGACCCCAAGCTCAGTGGAGACCTGGGCTAGGCCTCACTGCCCTCACACTCAAATGCTTTTACTTATTCATTCAACAAACGTTGAGTACTTACTGTGTGCTAGGCCCTGTTTTAAGGTGTTAACAGCAAATGACAAATTCCAGTGTGAGAGACAGAAAACACATCGGTGATGGGGAAACAACCCACAAGCAATCCAGTGCTAAAACTAAAACAACCACCAAGTAGCGAGGGATGGGCAGCCTCAGGCTGGCTAGAGGGGGCCTTTGTGGGTCAGGGAGAAGCCAGATCTCTACGCCTGAAAAAGGGGGCGGGGAGAAAGGTGGTGAGGGCTGGGGCAGAAGCCTCTGGTGATACTGGATTTTCTTGGTGTGCTCCTGAGGCTGGTAGGAAACTTCTGAGGACGCACAGTCTCCCCGAGTCCCCAGAAGAGGCTGTAGCTACACTGGCACCCACAGCAGAGGAGCTCTCACCCAGGCGGCCCGTGCTGCCAGAACCCAAGCTGGAGACCCGAGGGAGGGAGAGCTCACGGGAAATCAAGGCCAGCAGGGCTGCGGACCACTCTCCCCGCACCTCTGCCAGGCCCTGGGGGCATCTACACCCGGGCAGGCGGAGAAGGCCGGTCCTGACTCCTCCCCTACCCGCCTCCCGGCCCTCGCAGCCTGACTTGGTGGAGGGATGCCCGGAGCGCCTCAGCACCTCCAAACCCAGGCCTGCTGCCCTGCCCGTGCCCGCACCCCACCCCCGGCCAAGACCCCCAAGCCCCGCCCCTCCGCCGCGGCCCAGGAGCAAGACGCTCACAGGGCAGGCCTGGGGGAACCCTCTGTGGATCCTGCTCTCCCACTAAGCGCTGGCCCCTGTGCCGGTCCTCCAGACGCGGACACTGAGACGAAGTCACGGCCTATGGGCCCTGAGGGGTCACCCCGGATCCGGCCCTTCAAAGGCTGCGCGCTTCGCTCCCTATCGCTGTTCGCGCCGCAGCAGTCTCCTGCCTGGACGGGCACCGTCTCACCTCTGATCTCAAAGAGCTTCGCGCCGGAACCTGGACCCCTAGACATGCAGCTAGCGGGCTCGGCCTCTCCACGCCCGTCCACCGCGGAGAGCGAGGGGGCGCAGGCTCCCCGGACCTCTGCGCCCCTCGGAGGCCCCTCCCCCTCGACTTCCCCGGGCTCCAGGCTTGGACGGAGGAGACCCCGCCCCGCCGCCTTCGCTTGCTTGGGCCACTCCTGCCGGGCCCGGCTGCGGTCTATCTGGCCGTCGGATTATTATCCAGATATTAAGTAAACAATAAATTAGCAAAACTACAAGAAAATTTTACAGCCCTTTGCATTTGGCAATCATTGAGTGTTAATTAGAAATTCATTACAATTAAAACCCTGCCTAAACAGGGCCTGCGCGCCTTAATTACATCTGATTTTTAATTCAGAATACGTGTTTACACAGTAAGCGCTACGTACCCCATGATTATCCCCAATCCTCTTTATACTGTACTAATTATGTAAATTAAAGCTAATTAACTGACGAAAACTGCCGTTAATTCAACTGGTAAAAGATACGTGCTTGCAGAGGAGGCGCGGCCACCCAGCTCCAACCCAAGCCAGAGCCCCAGCGGGCGCCGCAGGCCGGACCGTGCGGACGCGGTGCCCGGCACTCCAAGGCAGATCTCGAGTCCAGATCTCCGACCCTGGGCACCACGGGACAGGAAGTAAAAGATACAAAATCCCCACTAAGGCTGGGTCAGGGAAGCCAAGAGCCGCGACTCCTGCGGGTTCCCCACACCCTGGACAGAGCTGTAGGAGCCGGAGGCCACACTGAGGAAGAAGGTGCCACCCCTGCCCATGTGCACCTGGGTTCAAGTCCCAGCTCTGCCAGCCCCTGGTTCCTGATGAGCCAGCGACCTAGCTTGGCAAGGCCTTGTCTTCTGCACCGGGAGTCAGGAGTGCGGGCAGAAAACTCCATACTGCGCACCTCATCAAACTGGACCCTTCCTGGAGCGTGCCGGGCACACCTGGGGTCGGGATCAGCCCTTGTGTCTTACCGACTGAAGAACTTGGGTGGGGGGCTGCCACTGCCTGACCTTTAGCTTCCTACCTGTGAAATGGGAATAAACGTTCCCACTTCATTATCATTACTCCCTTGTGAAAACCAGTTCCGATATGAACACCAGTTCTGCCCATAGTGAAATGAGGTTTCCAGTAAGACTAGAGCCCCAGTCCCGACCTCTATGACAGCTCCACCCCTCGACACCAGCGCCAAGCAGTGGGGAATCCCAGCCTCTGTGCGCGCCTCTTCCATCCTTGGCCGGGTCCACAGAGGTCCTGGGCGAGGAGCTGTCCGTAGCTCGGTGCTGAACCGGGAGCAGTGGCGGCCCTGCGCGCCCCCAGGGGCGGTTGTCCAGGGTGGCAGTCACCCTTTGTATGGGAAGTCCTGGGGTGTGCGAGTCCAGGCTGCTAGGACGCCCCGAGGCCAGCCCCGGGGGCGCGTTTGGCCCTCGGAGGACAATAGAGGCCGAATAGGCAGGCCCTGCGCACGGGGAGACTGCCCATGCTCTAGTTCCCATCCCACCGCCCTGGGGGCGTCCTGGCTCCACGATCGTTGTCACCACCATGTCGAATTCTGAGACTCCCTCTCAAAAAATCATTAGGAAGCGAAGAATAATTACCAAGTGGGATTGTAATTATGGGACGGGGGAGCCCGGGCCAAGGGAGCAGCAGGAACCGGAGGCGGCACTCGGCTGGGACGGAAAATACGTTCCCGTTGCCGTCCCGGGAAGGGGTGGCTACAGACAGCCTCAGAGTTGGCCTCGAAAAGAGGCCACGGCTGGAAAAGACGCGTCTGCACGGAGGGCCAGGGCGGGGACGGGAAGAGGGGCTGGGCAGGCTCCAGGGTTCAGAGTGAGAGGCAGGGCGCGCCAGGGGGAACTCAGGGAGGGGAAAGGAAGAACCGAGCAGGAAGAGCCCGCGAAGCCCTGCAACTTAGGAGGGGTGCCCGGAGCGTCGGGGGACACGCGGGCGGGGGTACCGCCCCCAGTGCTAGGGCTGGGCAATCTATTCGCTCCTCGGACCTTTCCTGGGGTCGCCGCGAGCCGGGAGAGAAGAGCAGAGAGGGGCGCAGAAGTGGAGACAACCCCGGGGAGCCGGCACGCAGGAGGGGAGCGGGGTCCACCCCCGGAGCGAGAAGGAAACGGAGGGGCGGGGGAGGAGCGACCCCGGCCGCCACCCGCGGAAGATTTATGGCCCTGCGCGCCCGGGTTCCAAGGACAGGCTGCGCTCGCCTCGCCGCTGCTACCGCAGTCGGTCGCTGCCGTGGCCGCCGCGCTCTCTGCCCGGGCGGCCCGCCGCGCCCCGGGCCATGCCTGCCATTATTAACTTCTGTTTGATTAGGGTAATTGTTCAAACTTGGGCTGGACAGTATGATTAATTACAGTTTAATTAGCGTGTCCATTAAGGACACTTAATGCCACGGGGGCAGCAAGGGGGTGGAGGCGGCGAGGGGGCGCCCGAATGCGGGGGGGCGGGGGGGGCGATTTCCAACTCAAATGAAGTAGGGACTGAGATTTGGAGAGAAAAAAGAAGCCGGGGACCCAAGGGGGGGCGTTGAGGGAAAGACAGAGAGTAGGGGCGGGGTGCAGAGAAACGGAGCTTTGGGGAGACAGAAGGTGCCGCCCGCGGGGGCTGGACCCCACCCACCAGCACCGCAGGAAAACTGAGTTTGTAAGGTTAACTGAGGAGTTGACCTCAGGTGTCACCCAGGGTACCCAGGTTCCTGCCTGTTGACGAGGACAGGGAGGACATTCCGGCCGGGGCGGGGTGGGGGTGGCAACCCAGTTCCGGGTCCGACCCAGCGGAGAGAGAGCGGAGCGGCCCTGCGCAGCCGAGAGCTCTCCCCGGAGCGGTGGGGAACGCAGATCCCTTCCCGGTTGCTTTCTCCAGGGCGCTGAACCCTAGTCCCTGACCGCGGCGCTGGTGACCATATGACTCCCTAGGGCCACTCGTGGTTCCACTGCCGGAGGCAGAAAGTGAAGTCCCCCTCCAGCTCCCCTTCCTTCCGAGCGCCCCTCAACTCCGTCACCGGCTCTCGCAGCGCGCTCCTGGCCGCTTGCGGGGCTCCGGGCCCTCCCCACTTTGTTCTTGGGGGCAAACTTTGCGGCGCCGGGCCCTTCCTCGCGTCTGGCCTCTCGGGCTATTGCGGGCCGCAGGTGCGGGGCGCGGGCCGCAGGTGTGCGGCCGCTTACCTGGGGCGCGCAGGCCCTGGG